TTCAGTAGTACTTGTTGACACGGGGCACATAGAGTTTCAGTAGTACTTGTTGACACGGGGCACATAGAGTTTCAGTAGTACTTGTTGACACGGGGCACATAGAGTTTCAGTAGTACTTGTTGACACGGGGCACATAGAGTTTCAGTAGTACTTGTTGACACGGGGCACATAGAGTTTCAGTAGTACTTGTTGACACGGGGCACATAGAGTTTCAGTAGTACTTGTTGACACGGGGCACATAGAGTTTCAGTAGTACTTGTTGACACGGGGCACATAGAGTTTCAGTAGTACTTGTTGACACGGGGCACATAGAGTTTCAGTAGTACTTATTTTGACATGGGGCCCAATGTCTGGATATATGATCGAGTAAAATATTAAGGCAACACAAAACATACACTATATTTATTAATAGTATAGATATCTTAGGCAGTTGTCATTGGTGATATGTTACAATGAGAAGATTCATAGACGGTGATGTAGGCAGTTGTCAATGGTGCTATGTTACAATGAGAAGATTCATAGACGGTGATGTAGGCAGTTGTCAATGGTGCTATTACAATGAGAAGATTCATAGACGGTGATGTAGGCATTTGTCAATGGTGCTATAGTACAACGAGAAGATTCATAGACGGTGATGTAGGCAGTTGTCAATGGTGCTATAGTATTACGAGAAGATTCATAGACGGTGATGAAGGCAGTTGTCAATGGTGCTATGTTACAATGAGAAGATTCATAGACGGTGATGTAGCCAGTTGTCAATGGTGCTATGTTACAATGAGAAGATTCATAGACGGTGATGTAGGCATTTGTCAATGGTGCTATTGTATTACGAGAAGATTCATAGACGGTGATGTAGGCAGTTGTCAATGGTGCTATGTTACAATGAGAAGATTCATAGACGGTGATGTAGGCATTTGTCAATGGTGCTATAGTATTACGAGAAGATTCATAGACGGTGATTTAGGCAGTTGTCAATGGTGCTATGTTACAATGAGAAGATTTATAGACGGTGATGTAGGCAGTTGTCAATGGTGCTACATTGTAATGAGAAGATTCACAGACGGTGATGTAGGCAGTTGTCAATGGTGCTATAGTATTACGAGAAGATTCATAGACGGTGATGTAGGCAGTTGTCAATGGTGCTATGTTACAATGAGAAGATTCATAGACGGTGATGTAGGCATTTGTCAATGGTGCTATAGTATTACGAGAAGATTCATAGACGGTGATTTAGGCAGTTGTCAATGGTGCTATGTTACAATGAGAAGATTTATAGACGGTGATGTAGGC